AAAAGAAAGGAAAGAAAAAGAAAGAAAGAAAAAAGAGGAAGAAGGAAGAAAGAGAGAAAGGAAAGAAAGAAAGAAAAAGAGAGAAAGAGAGAAAGAAAAAAGAAAGGAAAGAAAAAGAAAGAAAGAAAAAAGAGGAAGAAGGAAGAAAGAGAGAAAGGAAAGAAAGAAAGAAAAAGAGAGAAAGAGAGAAAGAAAAAAGAAAGGAAAGAAAAAGAAAGAAAGAAAAAAGAGGAAGAAGGAAGAAAGAGAGAAAGGAAAGAAAGAAAGAAAAAGAGAGAAAGAGAGAAAGAAAAAAGAAAGAAAGGAAAGAAAAAGAAAGAAAGAAAAAGGGGAAAGAAGAAAGAGAAAGAAGGAAAAAGAAAGAGAGAAAAGAAAGAAAGAAAGAAAGAAAGAAAGAGAAAAAGAGAGAATGGAAAGAGAAAAAGAGAAAGAGAAAAGCTTGAAGGGAGGAAAGAGAGAGAGGAAGGGAGGAGGAAGAAGAGAGAGAGAGTGGCGACCGGGCGGGCAGGGAGGGGGAGAGTGGGGGCATGGCCAGGTTGCAGCCGCTACCAGTCCATAAACATACGGCCAATTTCCGCTACTGTACTGGTCCGTACCGGGAGGAACCCACCTCTGCTCTGGAGGCTCAAAATGGGCCACGGGGCCACCGCATTCGGCCCATTTTGGCTGACAGAGGCACCGCAGGTCGCTCCATTGATATTTCCAGGTCGGCCCCGCGGGCCGGATTTAAGCACCCCCGCAGGCCAGATCCGGCCCGCAGGCCTTGAGTTTGATACTCCTGGAGTATCTCTTCCTCCTCCTCTCCTCCTCCACTTCTCCTCCTCCTCTCCCCTCACCCTCTTCCCCCCTCCTTCTTCATCTCCTCCTCCTCTTCTCTTCTGTCTCCTTCTTCTCTTCCTCCTCCTCTTCTTCTTTCTTCATCTCCTCCTCCTCTTCTTTTCCATCTCCTTCTTCTCTTTCTCCTCCCCTCCACCCCTCCCCTCCTCCTCTTCTTTCTTCATCTCCTCCTCCTTCTCTTCTTCTTCCTCTTCTCCACCATCTTCTCCTCTTCTCTATCTCCCCTCTATCTCCTCCTCTCCTCCCCCTCCTCCTCTTCTCCTCCTCCTTTTCCATCTCCTTCTCTTCTTCCTCCTCCTCCTCTCCTCCTCCTCCTCCTCCTCTCCTTCTCTCCTCCCCCTCCTTCTTTCTTCATCTCCTCCTCTTCTTCTTCCTCTTCTCCACCATCTCCTCCTTCTCTTCCTCCTCCTCTCCTCCTCCTCTCCTCCTCCCCCTCCTCTTCTTCTTTCTTCATCTCCTCCTCTTCTTCTTCCTCTTCTCCACCATCTCCTCCTTCTCTTCACCTCCTCTATCTCCTCCTCTTACTCCTCCTCTTCCTTCCTTTTCCCCTCCTTCTTCTCCATCTCCACCTCCTCCTCTTCCTCCTCCTCCCCCCTTTTCCTCTCCTTCGTCCCCCTCCTCCTGCCTTCTTGTTATAA